GAGAGAGAGAGAAAGAGAAAGAGAGAGAGAGAGAGACACACACACCGCCGCGCAACACCGCAGATGGAGAGGGAAGAGGACAGCACTCATCTTGAGCGGCTACAAGCAAGGAGGAAATCGGGGGGGAGGAGAGAGGGCGGAGGGAAGACACTAGTATTCCTCTCCCTCCCTGGGCAACCACAGGTGAACACTACCCCTGCAGGCAGGATGCGTGAGACTATGGCGGGTTCTCAGGGTGTGAAGCCTGTCTGCAGCCAGGTCAACCCCTGCAGGACTGCCCGATTTTCCAGCGTTAATTGGATTCGCAGGGGCATGGTGTTCGAAAGTCGTCGCATATGCTTTCCGAGAGGAGGGAAGTCTTTCTCTCGACGCTCAAGATGGTCCACGCACCCCCCCCCAGGGTCAATCCTGACCGCTGTTTGTGGGAGGCCGATTTCTGACAGGTATAGAACCCGAAAAAAGGTTTCCCGATACCGAGCACTGCGAACAACTACTCGATGATGGATCCTCGATGCCTTCCTCTCCCTCGGCGGCGAGCGAGGGCTTCCCCGAAGACGCAGAGAATTACTCAAAGGCGCGAGGGCTTCTGAGAAGACCCGCCGCCTTCTGAGAGGTCATTTTCCTTCCCACTTCCAAGCTCGCCGCCGACTCCCTCCCTCTCCACCTCCTCCAAGAGCGACGCGCGAGTCCTTCGCGGCCGCGGTGGCTTCCTTCTTCGCTGTCTGCGTCGCCGCCGCGGCCTCTGCGGCGGCGTCGCGGTCACCCTTCTGGGCCTGGAGCTCGTCGACCTCTCCGGGACGTCTTCAGTTCTGTTACCGCAAAAGCCCGGGAAACATTCGGTTTGAACGCCCGAATTGGGTACGGAAAAAATGGGCACACTGCCCAACAACAACAACTGTTGTCCCAAACCATCAGCGGCCGCTGTTGAGCAGGCGGCCTTCTGTCTCAAATGGACAGCGAATCCTGTTCAAAATGAACAGGCACTGCGGTCGGTCTGTGTACACATTCTTTCCGCACATTCTGTGTACACAATACGGACGCACGATAAAGATGCAAGGACCTTGGAAGGCCATGTCAACACCTTGCGAGCGGGGCACGGCCAGCGAAAGCGGCCAAAGATGGGCCGAAGGGGAAGCATGCAAATGCAACCTTGGTAACTTGCTCATCCTTACTATGCGGGTTGACTGTACCCGTTTCGACCGTTCAGAGAACATCCCCTCCTGTTCGCGCCCCTGAGTCCGCCCCCTGTCGGACTGTGTATTGGCGGCGAGCGAGGGGGGGAAGTGAGAAGGGGCGGGCCTTCTCAGAAGGCTCGGAAGTCCCCCGGACCTTCTGAGAAGCTTTCAGAACTAAGACCCACCGCCTTCCGAGAAGACCTTCTCCGTCTCACTGCCCCCCCTCGCCGCTCGCCGCCGAGTGTACCCATTCTTTCCGTACCCATTTCGATCGTCCCGAATCGGGGCCCGTGGGAAGGCCAAAAAACGACCGGGGAAGCTACGCTGCGCTGCGCCACCCCCAGTCGGCCCGAAGGCCGTGCCAGTCCAAGAGCTCGAAGGATCCGCCGCCCGGGCAGGAGAGCTATGGCCACGGCTCGGACGTCCATGCCCCATGCACTTGTCGGTTTCGTGCGTGCATGTTCCCCAGCATGATCCACGGTGCTCCTCGATGGTCCTCCTCCTCCTCCTCCTCCTCCTCCTCCTCCTCCTCCTCCTCCTCCCTCCCTACTCCCTACTCCCTACCCCATACTCCCTACTCCCTACTCCCTACTCCCTCCTCCTCCTCCTCCTCCTCCTCCTCCTCCTCCTCCTCCTCCTCCCTCCCTCCTCCGTTCCTCCTTCCTCCCCCACTTCCCCCCTCCTCCCTCCTGCCTTGCTTTCCTCCGCGCACGTAGTTACGCACACGTCCGAGCGGTGCCAAGACGGCACCAATCCGCCGGACCTCGCCCGGGCCCACAAGAGGTGGCGGCCGCTGCCCAGCTGGCAGCCCCCCCCCCCAAGGGGGCCGCGAGGTGTGCGGCACGCTCAGAGTATAGGCGTCGTGCAGGCAAGAGATACGGGGCTAGGGGGAGGGGGAGCGAGTTTGGAGAGAGCAGCGCTCCACTCAAGCCGAGAACCAGACGCGGGATGGCTGGGACAAAAGGCACACGTCCGAGCGATGCCAGGGAGCAGGAGCAGAAGCTAGAGGCCCCCCAGATAGGGTCCGAGTAGATGGGGTCGGAGGATCTCGCCGCATCGCCGATACATCGACGATGCATCGCCGATGCATCGGTGATGCATCGGCGATGCACTGGCGAAGTCGGCGGTGCATCGGCGACGTCGGCGTGGAGAAAATTGGTTTCATGCATCGGCGATGCATCGGTGATGCGGAGCGATCCTACTCCATCGCCGATGCAACGCCGATGCATCGGCGATGCGGAGCGATCCTTCGACCCCATCTACTCCGACCCCATCCAGGAGGCGAGGAAGATCGAGGAGTGGGGCGGGAGAGCCCCCCGAGCGGGGAACCGTCTCTCAGAGGCAAAGACAGCGGCACACGGCGCATCGCAGCGGAAGATCGAAGGAGCATCGCCGCAAGAACGGCGACACGTTCTCGAGGGCGACCGCCCCCAGAAGCCTCCCGGAGGTCCTAGACAGAAGCTGTTGGCGCTCCGCGCGGATTTCTTGGATCCGCGCTGCCCCCCCTCCCCCCTGGCGGCGCCTCCGGCGCCGCCCCTGGCGCGCTTCGCGCGCCTGGGAGGGGGGGTCTTCGTGTTTCCTTCTTCGGCAGAAGCCTCCCAGAGACCGTGCGCGTCGCCCAGGATGCTCCGATAGCCCACGAAGGGGTTTTCAATAGCTGCCTGCTCGCGCTGTCGGGCTCCCAGGGCGAATCCCGTGGAGAACAGCTTCCGCCGAGTGTTGCGCTCGATATACCAAACGACAGCCACACGCCTCGGGGGCAGCCAAGAGGGGGGCGTCAAAGAGGGGGGGGGGGGGGGGGCGCAAATCATGGCTGGCGGCAGGTGCGCGGCCTAAGGAAACAAGAAGAGGCGCCATGAAATCTGAGGAAATATCACTGCCCCCGTCATGATATCCCCCCCTAGTCATCACTCCCCTCTCTGCCGCCCCCAAACGCCAGCTGTACACAGCAGCTTGCGGGAGCTGCCACCACACAACTTCCAATGCCCACGAGAACACACGGGCAGACGGCAGGGACGATGCGGTGTGGGCCGGGGGACTGCGCGGAGCGGTCCGCCGCCCCACTGGGCACAGTCAACCCGTACAGTAAGGATGCGCGATAAGGGTGCCATTTCTTCCCTACCTAGGCTCTGCCTAGAAGGGTTCGTACTCGCTTGGCTTAAAGGGGCCGGGCAGTGCAAACCGCCCCGGGCGGTTCCCCCAGTCCCCTGGGAGCCACACAAAAGCCACTACTACTACCGCTACTGCTACAACTACGACGATGAGGAGAAGGAGGACGGCGTTTACCGCTCCTACTAATGTTGCTTCCTAGAGGCTCCAACTCCTAGGTAGGGTCGCACTGGGACAATTCGACTTTTTCGAGCGGGGCGCGGCCAACGAAAGTGGCCAAGGATGCACCGAGGAGGCAAGGATGCAAGCGCACCCTTGGGAAGGTTGCCCGTCCTCGAGCGGGGCGCGGCCAACGAAAGTGGCCAAGGATGCACCGAGGAGGCAAGGATGCAAGGGCACCCTTGGGAAGGTTGCCCGTCCTTCCTATGCGGGTTGACTGTACGGCGTGGGAGATCCCCACCGCATGGTCTGCAAAGACTCATTCCCCTCGGTAATCTTATGATGTTCCAACCCCCTTTTAGCCTCGATCACCAGAAAGAATTTCGAGCACCACGACAAGCACCGAAATTGGAGGGTTGTCACGTGTCGGGCCCTGGGAGGCGATACTCGTTCGACACTGTTTCGATACTTTTCCGGGTGCTCGAAATTAGTTCTGGGAGTTGGTCCTCGAGCGCGATGGATGCAACATAACGGCAATCTCACATCCTCCCTCCTCGCACTCGTACCCTCCGGAAAAAAAAGCCATCCGTAGCAATTTTGGCTCAAGCTGGCTCTGTGCGTTTTGCCCGGTTTCGGTCCCCTCCTTACTGTGCAGGCGCGCTTGGGCATGGCTACGGTCGATATTTGCCAGTCCGTGGCAATGAGAGTGTGCGCCCAGGCGAGTGCGGCACACGTCTTGGCGGCGGCGCTTGGTGCTGCTGCGGGCGGGGCCTCCCGTCAGGCTGCTGCGGCGATGGTGGCGGCCGCAGTTCGTACCTCCCTCGACGGCTCCCCCGATGCCGTCCAGGAGGAGGTCAAGGCTAGGTTGGCTATGGTGGAGCCAGCCCTCAAGGAGATGGTCAAGGCTGGGCCGTCGGGGGACCCAGCCCCCAGCGGCGACATGAAGGCTATGCGCAACACGGGCCTGCACCTGGACATGGGCTGCGGCGCGGACAACCTCCCGCAGGATGGCAAGGAGGCAAAGCGGAGGCAGCGCAGCGGACGCAAGATCAAGGAGAAGGCCAACCTGCGGCTGGCGGCGGAGCCAGGGGAGTGCGAGGAGGGGCACTCCAATGAGGCGAGCAGCACCTCCGCGGCCAACCAGCACGTTGAGCAGAAGCAGGTCGAGTGCAAGCCAAGCGAGGACCCCAGCCTGGTGCATGATGAGGTCATCGACGTCTCCGTGGAGGCCTTCGTGCAGAAGGTGCCTAAGGAGGCCGACGAGGACCAGCACATCGGGGTGAAGGTCAAGAAGCCGCAGGACGACGCGGTGGAGGTCGCGACGCTGACCCTCTGCGCTGCCAAGCAGAAGATCGAGGGCACCGCGTGCGTCGTGTTTGAGCTGGAGGCCCAGCTGGAGTCGGCCCGTGCCGTGCATCTGGCCGCCTGTGAGGAGGCCGTCGACGCGGGCTTCGAGGCGATCGACTTCGGCGAGGCTGGGTCGTGAAGTCGGCCAAGTTTTGAGTGGCCTTGGGGTGCGGAGGCTCGTGTTCCTCCTGCGCTCCCGTGCCGCGGAGGCTAGTGTTCCTCCTGCGGCTTGCCTGCCTCGGGGTGCGGAGGCTCGTGTTCCTCCTGCGCCCCCAGTGCTGCGGAGGCTCGTGTTCCTCCTGCGGCTCTGGCTTCCCTGGGTGCGGAGGCTCGTGTTCCTCCTGCGCCCAGCGGCAGGTTCGCGCCGCGGAGGCTCGTGTTCCTCCTGCGGCGCTGCAGCCTTGGGGTTGCGGAGGCTCGTGTTCCTCCTGCGACCCCACGGGCTTTGTTTGCGAAGCACGTGCGTGCGCTTTCAGCATATTCCAGCATATTCCCGAAAAAAAGCCCGTGCAACCCCTCCCGGGGCCCTCCCCGCGGCCTGCCCCTGCGGCTGGCCGCCCACGCCTTCGCACGGAACACCCCTGGACGTCTCTGGGCGCCGTCTGTGGCCTCTCAGGAGGCCCTCCTGGACAGTCTCTGGAGCCTCTTGGAGCCCTCCTGGGCTCCACTGGCCCGTCCCCAGGGCCCTCTGGGGCCAGCTCGGACCCCTCCGAAGTTCTCTTCGAGTCATTTTCATGTTGAGCCGAAAACTCTAAGATTCAACAAAGGCATATCTTTTATGACCACATATAATTGAATGATTCGAGCCGTTTCGGGCTTTCCTTTGCACGCCGGTCGGAAGAACTAGGTAGAAACATGAAGTAGGAAGGCGGATAAAGTAGATTGGGCTCAGGCCCCTCCAGAGAATAACAAAACACAGCCAAAGCATATCGGTTCTCGAGGTAGGAAGGCGCTTGAACTAGAATGGGATCTGGGGAGACAGAAGTACCTAATATCGACGACAGACGGCTATCCCTCGTTGGTTTCGCCCCCCGCTTTCAAGCCTTTTCGGTGCCTCTTTGGGTCGTGCTCGGTACTCTCGGCGAGCCTCGGGTGGCTCGCCAGGCCGGCGTCCAGGGCCCCACAAGCCTTCCTGAGCAGGCCGTGCTCCCCCTTCCACGCTTCCTCCTCCGAAGCCTGCGACACATCGCGCAAGGCTCCTCACCCTTGGGCCTCGAATTATGTTTCTCCCTTCGTACTTGAGGACCACATCCCAGGAATCATTTCGAGCACCCGGAAAAGTATCGAAACAGTGTCGAACGAGTATCGCCTCCCAGGACCCGACACATGACAACCCTCCAATGTCGGTACTTGTCGTGGTGCTCGAAATTCTTTCTGGTGGTCTAGGCTGAAGTAGGTTGGAACATCAGAAGCCTCGGAAGCTTTCCTATCTACTACACGCACTCATCCTACAATGATGTCTCTCGGACTGCGCTTGCGCCCTCGTCCTCCTCGTCCGCCTCGCCCTCCATCCCTTCTCCCTACAGGAAACTCCTCCCTGTCGCCCCCCGAGGCGGGTCGAACGGGCGGGCCGAGCGTTTCGCCAGAGGCTCCCTCACCAATTACGATCCTAAAACTAAATGAAACCAGAGCTTCACGCATGGAGGGGGCGATCCGTGTTCAAAATGTGGCTCTCTCCCCAGAGCCGCGCACATTCGTCTGAAGAGTCTGCAAATGCTTCAAGCATGGATGGCCGTTACTTTTCACAATGTGGCTCTCAATTTTGCGCCGCGCACATTCGTCTTCAGAGTGTTTCGACCGTTTCAATGATTCTCATGGTTAAGTCCCAGAAATGGTGTTTTGGCACGATATCGGAATGTCAGGGCGCAACAGTCACGTTGATCCGCGGAGTTGAAGTCCCACGAACGACTTTCTGGCGCGATCCAAGACCGCAAAGACGCAATGGTAACGGTGATTCGCGGCGCTGATGTCCCAAAAATTGGCCTTTGGGACCAATTCCAGATTTTTGAACGGTTGTCTTCCAATCTTCCAACGGGGCACTTCCCTCAGTGTAAATGAATCCAAGTAGGGACCTATAAAAAGGAAACTCGGAGGGAGGGTGTTTTGCAATAGCATGGCCTTGGGTTTACACTGGTCCACTTGTTCTTCTTCCTCCTCCTCGTCCTCTTCCTCCTCCCGTTCCTCCCTCTTCCTCTCCTCTCCCCCTGCCCCCTCCTCCTGCCCCGTTCTTTCGCACGCACACCACCACTTCCCAAAGTGTCGCTGCATGAATGTATCACCGACCCGCGGACCCGTGCAAACAACCGACATCGAAATCCACAGTTCCATTCTTTCACTGAACCCCCGAACGACACCTGGGTAACCGTTGCCGCTGCCTGCTGATATTGCAAGGCCTTCTTGTGCAGTTGATGGGTGCTCGTGAACCCGTTTGTGTCACATGGAGCCCCCCGTAGCACCCTCCGCTGTTTAAGCTCACGGCCTCCTCCTCCTCCTTCTCCTCCTCCGCCTCTTCCTCCTCCTCGTTTTCTTCGTCTTCTTCCCTTTTCCTCCTCATCTTCCTCCTGAAGAGCTCTTTAAGCTCCGACCCCCATCCCCAGCGGCGTGGCCTGGGCCCAACTGGCCGATTCACCCCCTAGATGGAGATATAGGCCGTTCCCTTCGGGCTTCGAGGGGTGTATCCCAAACAGGGGCGGTAATTTGGCGGGGGTCTCGAAGGGCATGAGGATGGGGGTGGGGGACGGTTGAACGATACTGGTCACTGCACAACCGTGGACTCCGCGTTCCCCAACAACTGGGGCGGCCGTGTTTGCCCTCAGGGGCGTTCGATTGAATGAGGACACCTCTGATTTGCAGGGTCGACCAGCCGATCGGTGGCGGCTGCAAAACCCCATGTATGCTTGCAAGGTGATCGACACCGATACGAAAAACCACAAGTGGCCATGTTGAGCATTCCCTATCGATTCTTGGACTGAGAACTGTTGAGGAATGACCAACGCTACCACCTGTGTTTTCGCGAAAAGACGTCTAGGACAGCTCCACTCGGAGAGTCAGTGAAACGAGCATGGCCCATGGGCTTGCCGAGGGACAATCCGTCGGGCGCGACCGCGCGCCTTCGCCTGCGCCGATGCAACCTCGCCCTCCGCCGCGGTCACGCCAGCCTTTCGCACCGCCAGGAAGCGCCCAAATTCACAACTTCTGGAATCCTGCCAGAGTTCCCCGAGGAATGGTGGATGTGGACATTTGCCCGGCCACAGGGCCAGGCAGACACAGTCAACCCGTAGAACAGGGACGCATGATAAGGAAGCAAGGGCTTCGGAGGGCCATGTCGGCACTTTGCGAGCGGGGCGCGGCCAGCGAAAGCGGCCAAGGATGGGCCGAAGGGGAAGATGCAAGGGTAACCTTGGAAAGGCCCATCCTCTTTGTGCGGGTTGACTGTATCCACATCAGCCACTCCCGAACTTCCCGGGCATGACTCCGAAGCGGCGGACATGAGCATGCTCTGGCGGTGGAGCCTTCAGGACGCTGGAGACCATGTCGGCGGCCGTCGACTGGTGCTTGTGGCGCTCCTCCTCGGGAGGAGGAAGACGGAGGGGAGCAAGGACTGACGGACCACCGCATCAGGCGAGGAGAAAGAAGGAGGGGAAGAGGAGGAGGAAGGAGGAGGAGGAGGAGGAGGAGGAAGGAGGGGGGAGGAAGAAGGAGGGGAGCAAGGGGAAGGAAGAAGGAGGGGAGCAAGGGGGAGGAGAAAGGAGCAACAGGGAGAAGCAGAGGGAGAAGCACGGAGGAGGGTGAGAGAGCGAGCCAGCCCCGAGGCAGCGTCCGAGTCGAATGCTGCCCGTGGGAGGCAGAGGAGGCGAGGGGCCTCAAGGGGGGAGGAGGAGCCAGCGTGCGCTCCCGCTCCTGAAAGTGAGCGTCGTTTTTCTTCTAAGTCAGCGTTTCGACATTGGGCGGCAAGGGGGGGGGAGGGGGGTCTGGCTCTAGACCTCTGCTCAGTGCGACTGTTTGCAGCAGTGCGTCATATGGGGGGAGACTCCACCTGCTCGAAACAGGCGCCCAAAACAGCCAAGATCTACTTCAGGGGGAGGAAGGAAGGGGGGGTGCAAGGGACGGCGCCGATCGGCAAAACAATAAATCAAAAACGATCACCTCCAGCACGGACCGAGCCCCGCAAGTGGGCGGTCAGGCAGTGCTGGCGACCTAGGGCTGTGGATGCCATGACGGTGCACACCCTAGCAATCCGATCGTTGAATCAAACATGTGGTTAGACTTGGTTGAAGCATGTTTTGACAATGTTTGAGTCATGTTTTTTAAAGAAGAGGTTTTGAAAGCATGCTTTGAACACTTGTTAGACATCTGGAAACCATTGGGCAACATGCTTTTTCTGCATTGTTCGTCTCCACAGACCTGGGGACACCAGCCGCCCTGCCCACCCATCATCGAGGCTCGCGCCCTGCCAGGACCTCGCCGCGGAGCCACAGCTGGCCCGCGGAGGGCGCGCCCGGACAGGGCTCGGGAAGCGTGCTTGTGAGCGCGGCGCCTCGACGCGGGCACGGGCGCCGCATCGCCGACAGAGCAGAGGATCCCGATGAAAGGAGCATGCTTGCACCGTTTCGGGGTTGAGCTGCGAATCGTATGGCACTGCAACCCCCCGCGCACCCGACTTTTATATTGGTAATTGTGGCATCTCCTGGTGCCCTTCGACAAAAGTAAAGATGCATCCCAGTTCAGCGCGCGCGCGCCCGCTCTCAGTGTTAAGGTCGGGGGCGGGGGGGTCGCATCATCAGTTGTCGCGTCGCCCAGGTGGTGCAAACTTGTTTCGTTCAACCGTTGCCTGCTACCTAAACCCGGTGTTCGAGGAACTCAAACACTTCAGTGGCCTTCACGGTCTGAGGCCTCCGTGAATGGTGCTCCATAGGCAGGGCGTGTAGTTGAGCACGCGACGCGCCGGCGGCTCCTTCAGCATGTGACGCGCCCGAGGTTTCACAACTGCCTTGGCTCAAGCTCGCGAGGCCTCTCGACTGGACCAACATACTACCATCACCGTCCCGTGGGCTTGACAACCCCTGGTCATCAAAGCCAAGGGCGGTCCAGGCAAGGCGGACTGCAGCACCACGCGCCCTACGAAGGACGCCTCCATGTCGATCCGCTCGGACCGCCGCCATGAACAAGTGGAGGGCAATGGGTGTACACTTCGCGCCAGGTTGCTCCAACTTGGCCCGACTCAAAGCAGTCTGGGCCGAACAATGGCACCACGTGCACCTGACGCCACCCCCAGGGACCTCCTCGAGGCCGTATGGTTTTTCGGCCGAGCAGGAGCCGCGGCTCAGGGACCGAAGATCTGGCCACAAACTGGGTCGCCCGCGATATGAAATCAGGGTTGCGCTGAACCTCGGCCATGTCAGACCGCACTGCATCTGCTGAAACGTGAGCTGCTTTGATCTGACCTGCGCCCAGCTTGGCGAACAAATCCACCCAAGCGTTCCCACGGAGATCGTAGACACGAGACGCACTGACCGCCCAAAATCTCATTAAGATCTCCACGAGAAGGGGCCCAGCGAAACGAAGGCTGCTCCACTCTGCCCTCGTCAAGCCTAATTAACCACTGCTCGCCATACACTCGCGTGCTTGTGGGCTCCTGAACCAAGGCTCGCATCCCAGCTCTGGCCCTCCTGCACAGCCGAGAGATGGTCCGACACGATCTCGAACCCCAAGGGGCCAGTCGGTTGGCCTCGAAGATAGCCTGGCGTTCGGCTCGCGGCACCGTTTGGCACCTTCCCGCGAGGCCCGCGTACGCCATCCTTGGGCTGAGAGCCCGACCGCAAAACACCCGCAACGGGCCATTTCGGGAGCGCCATTCGCCTGGCCAGATCCGTCGGTGTAGACTCGCGCCCCACACCGAAGGCACGTGGCCCCTCAGGGGGAAAAACCACACCTGCCAAGTACGCGGAGGGCTTCGTGAAAAAATGGAGGCAACAACCTGAACATTGAGATCTTGACGCGAAAGCGCCTGCAGTGGTACAGTGCATGCTTGAATCCGCTGCTGCTGCAATCCCCCCGTGCGATGCTACGCCACGGCGGCCATGGATTTCTTCGACAACGTTGCGAGTCATAGATCAACGGAATATTACCAGAAACAGCGGAGAAAGCATGGACGAGGTCAAAATACTGAACAAACAGATCCAGATGTCAGCCCGTGCCGACAGACGGCGGTGGCCAGATGATGCAGTGGACAAAGATGGGTGGAGAGCAATACGAGCTCTCCGGAAACGACGAGCAACGACGACTGGAAGACTCCGCGACTTGAGCGGCAATCTTGTGGATGCTGAACAAAGGCCGGAAACGATGGCGGAATATCTCGAACAAGTACAACGGCGTGTGTGTGTCATGATGGATTAGATTTACCAGATATGGTTGCCAACAACGGTTGCGTGCAAATGGAAACCGGGAGTAGTACGTTAGAAGAAGTGTGACGAGCTGTGAAACATCTTCGGGTACGAAAGGCGGCAGGCAACGATGATATTCCATCCGACCTCTGGCACGCATTAGGGTCGAACAGCGATGCCTTGTTCCAGCGAAGTGGCGGCAATCGTCGGTGGTACCTATATTCAAGGAGGGTGACACGTCGCAGCCGGGCAACTACAGACCCATATCATTATTAGCAGTCGGCAACAATATTCTCGCCTGCATTATCTTGCATCGTTTCAAATAGGGCGAAGCAGAAGAGACGTTACGCGAATCCCAATATGGATTCAGACCAGGCAGAGGCACTATTGAAGCACTGCTGTTGGCACGCAGGCTGGTGGATGCTGCTCTTGACGATAAATGTGGGAAGCTGCTTATCTTACTTCTGGATCGGAGCAAAGATCTCGATCGTATCAAGACAGATGACCTACTGTTCGCACTCCAACATTTCGGCGTGCCTGCGGCGATGCTCGACATGATTGCGGCGATCTACAGGGTGCGGCGGTTCGTTGTCAAAGAGGGCCCTCTTGTATCTGCACTACGAGTTCAAAAAGATGGAATAGCACAGGGATGCCCTTTGTCCCCATACCTTTTCATCACTGTTATGTCCGTGCTCCTGGAAGCGGTGGACGACAAACGGGCAACCGACTGCGACAATTTCACGGGCAAGCCGTACATTATCACAAGGGACGTCTTGTATGCCGACGACACGATGCTCGTGGCTGAAGACCAGCCGACCCTCCAGAAGCATTTCACGACAGTTGCACAAATTGGTACATCTATTTTACTGAGAGTGCGATCCAACGACGCTGTGCTTGGCCCAAACGGTGAGGCAAACAAATACGAAGAACACGCCGTGTATCTGGGCGGATTATTGAGCCCGAACTGAGCTCACACGTCGGTTGGGGCAAGCGCGCGGAGCATTTCACTAATTACGCAGCACAGTGTGGAGCCATGCGAATATGAGCCGACGGCACAAATTGCTGGTGCTGCAAGCTTGCGTGTATAGTGCACTGTTATACGGGCTAGAATATTGCATGTTACTGAAGGCGGATCGGGATCGACCTGACAGTTTCCAAACACGATGTTTGCGAGTGATTTTCAAAATAGCGCCAGCTTTCCTGACTCGCGGCCGGCCCCAGGCACGCGGCCGGCTCGGCTCGGCTTGAGCCAGAGGGGGTACGGAGCTGGTGGGGATTCGCCAAGCGTCAACCATTGGTTTTGTTCGTTACGAGTCGGCCTCGCATGAAAATCCGATACTGCTTCACGACATCGCCCAGGCCTCATGACATAGCTCTTGCATAGCGCATTCTCCGTGAGAGGGGGCCGGCGGCAGGGGCGAAGCCCTTACGGATGTTCAAAACGAATGTGCGCGGCGCTAAAGCGAGAGCCACATATTGAAAGCCACACGCCCTCAATCCGTGAAACTCTCGCAAAAATTTAAAAACGAGTGTGCGCGGCGCCAGGGCGAGAGCCACATGTGGAAAACAACCCGCCCTTCATATGTGAAACTGTTGACATTGTTTAAACTTCAGAGTCAGACATGATGAGGACGTCTCAGGCGAAACGCCCGGCCTGCCCTAAAAACTGGCCTCGGGGTGCGACAGGGAGAAGTTATGTATAATGAGAAGGATGGGATGAGAAGGAGGAGGAGGAGGAGGAGACGCTGGAGGAGGGGGAGGAGGAGGAGGAAGAGGAGGAGGAGGAGGAGAAGGAGGAGGAGGAAAAAGAGGAGGAGGAGGAGGCGGAGGGGGAGGAGCTGGAAAGGAGGAGGAGGAGGAGGAGGAGGAGGAGGAGGAGAGGGAGGAGGAGAAGGAGGAGGTGGAGGAGGAGGAGGAGGAGGAGGAGGAGGGGGTGGGGGAGGGGGAGGAGGAGGAGGAGGAGGAGGAGGAGGAGGAGGAGCATAAGGACCAGTGTAAACCCAAGAGACACAAACGTTGATGGAATAATCCCTCCCCTCCAAGCTCCCTCTGTTGGGGCCCCCCACAACGGATCATTCCCACCGAAGGACCTGCCTCGTTGCAAGACAACCGTTTGAAGACCCTGAAGCATGCCAAAACATGATGCTCGGTATTCCAACGCCACGGATGAACCTGACTGTTGCGCCTTGACGATCCTGAATCGTGCCAGAACGCCAGTCCTGGGACCTCAACTCCGCGAATCATCCGAACTGTTGCGCCCTCAAAATCGCGAATCCGTCCAAAACACAATTTCTGGTACGTCGATCATGGGAACCCGTAAAACTCTTGCAATCCTGTATCACTAATATGCGCGGCGCCAAGGCGAGAACCACACTTTGAAACCGGCCCGACCTGAATCCGTGAAACTCTTGCCAATGGTTAAAACGAATGCGCACGGCGCTAAAGCGAGATCCACAATTTGAAAACGACCCGCCCTTAATCCGTGAAGGTCTTGTAACTTTGTAAAACGAATGTGCGCGGCGCTAAGGCGGGAATCACACTTTGAAAACGACCCGCCCTTAGTCCGTGAAGCTCTTGCAAATGTTTAACACGAATGTGCGCGGCGCTAAGGCGAGAACCACATTTTGAAAGCCACCCGCCCTCAATCCGTCAAGCTCTTGCCAATGTTTGAAACGAATGTGCGTGGCTCCAAGGCGAGAGCCACATTTTGAAAACGCTCTCAATCCGTGAAGTTCTTGCAGACTTCTAAAACAATTGTGCGCGGCGCTGAGGCGAGAGCCACAGTTTGAAAAGCATCCGCCCTCAATCCGTGAAGCTCTTGCAAAAGTTTGAAAACGAATGTGCGCGGCGCTTAGGCGAGAACCACATTTTGAAAATCACCCGCACTGTATCTGTGACTCTGTTGCCATTGTTGAAGCTTCAGGGTCAGAAATGGTGAGGAAGTCCCAGGCGAAACGCCCAGCCCGCCCTACAAACTGGCCTCGGGGTGCGACAGGGAGAAGTTATGTACGAAGGAGAAGGAATGGAGGGGGAGGAGGAGGAGGAGGAGAGGGAGGAACTGGAGGAAGGAGAAGGAGAAGGAGGAGGAGGAGGAGGGGGGGAGCGCCCCCCCCGCCCCGTTCCACTAATTTGAATTGCCGTCACCCGAAAAGCGCCAGCTACGGCAGACCTGGTTTACGGCAGGTTCGTGTCGTGCCGACCCCAGCGTTGGTTTTTGACACCGCAGGGATCGTTCAACCTTGAACGATCGGCCGTCTCCGCAACGTCCAATCGTTCAACATCGACCGATTCTGGGCCGCCGTCGGCGTTCAACGTTGAACGTCGGCGGCGGGGTCGCCGCCGGTCGACACGACGCGAACCTACCGTAGCGATTCCAATCCATATTTTGGGCTTCGGGGTCCAATCACTAACTGGCTGCCCTCAACCCGGTTTCCTGGCTACGCCCGAGCCAAGGCCGGGGGCGGCGCCGCCCCACGGCGCGCCGGGACAAGCGTTCGGCGGCGAGCATTTCTACGAATCGTCCACGTATTTTTCGTAAGTTAAGCCCACGAATAGAACACCAATAGAACCGACTATGCACGAATCCTGGTAGGCGTACGGGTGCCCGTACGGTGTCCTGGGTGACGCCGATGGCGTGGTGGGGCGCAGCCGCCCCAGACTGCATCCTCGGGTCCCTGAATCTTACCACGACCGCCAAGCGGTGCATACAAATAGTCCACGAATAGAACACCAATCTGGGGGTAGATCGACTCTGGAGTCGAGGCTCTACTCGAAGGGGGGGGGAAAGAGAGCAGCAGAAGGCCTGCTCAGAAGGACGCGGGACTTCTCAGAGGCCTTCTCAGAAGGAGGAGGCCTTCTCGGAAGGACTCCTCCTTCTGAGGCCTTCTCAGAAAGAGGAGGCCTCCTCCTTCCCGGAGGAGGCCTTCTCAGAAGGAGGAGGCCTTCTCGGCGGGACGTCTCGGGTGCATTCCCAGAAGGAGAGGGCCTCCTCACAGGCGGCGGGACTCCTCAGAGGCCTTCTCAAAAGGAGGAGGCCCTCTCAGAGGGCCCTCTCAGAGGGCGGCCCTCTCGGCCGGACTCGGGCGTCGGGCCGCGCTCTGAAATCTGCAAGCCCACACAGTGAACAGCCAAAGCGTGCGTTCAAGGGCGGGTGGTTATGACTACCTACCAGACCACCCCAACCTGGCCCGAATTTCGGGTTGGGTGGGCACGGGCTTCAGATGTGTTTTTTTCACTGTTCCCCGCCCCCCCCCCACAGGAAAATGGAGGGGAAATCGGGGACTTCGGGTTGGGTTGTGGTGGTTTGGTGGGCGGTGAGGTAAGGACGCAAGATCCTTGGAGGCCGGGCGATGGGCGACCAGTGAAAACGGCAAATGACGGGCGGCATAGGCAAGGGCAAAAGTGTACCTGGATGAAGACGCGCGTCCTTACTAGGCGCGGTGACTACATGGACCCGAGAAGGAGCGCACCGCAGAGGACGTCCTCCGAAACACCTTATCCGGTTTGCTCCCAAAGCGGCCCGGACAGTTTACCGGCCAGCCCACAAATGGCCCACTTCAGCGGGACGCGTGCAGAACGATTAAAAAGGTGTTTGGGACATTTCCGACGGAACCGAAAATGAGGCTCACGCTAAATGCTTCCCGCAACAAGTACGTTCTCGGCTGAACGCGCGCCAAATCTGTCGGCATCCTCCCCCGAGCGCGGTCTCAGCCCAGCCAAGCGAGGCTCGCGCATGACTTCCTTACTGTAGCGACCTTGCAGTCATGCGGCTGCGCCGCATCCGCGCGGAGCCGTGCTGCGCCATGCAGAATACACTTCCGGAGCGCCGATGCAGGACCCGCGCGCTGCGGCCGCGCCCGCCACCTGGGCCAGCGCGAACCGCGCGGCGGTCGGGGCCGCGCGGGCGTCGGGGACGAGGGCGGGCAACGCGCTCGTGGCGAGGACCGAGCCCGACAGAACGACGGCGACGAGGGCCCGGAACAACACCTGTATTCACCTGACTGTGAGTAGGAGGCAGGGAGGAGGTTGGAGGCAGGAGGTAGAAGGTGGGACGTAGGAGTTCGCAGCCACCCAGAGAAACCCCAGGTAGTAGGTAGGAGGCAGGGCGACAAAAAGGGAGAAAGATACGAAGGGGGTGGCAGGAGGAGGCAGGAGGAGAGGGAGGACGGCGGAGAGGGAGGGGGGAGGAAGTACTGAGAGGCAGGACGGCGGAGGGGGAGAGAGGAGGAGGAATCCAGGACGAGCACGCAAAGCATCTGCCAATCCGCCGCCGACCCCCCCCCCCCCCGAGACCAGCAACAGCCACAACCCCATCCCCTTCCCCGAACCGCGTCCCCACGGCAGAGCATCAGAAGGAACGATTGAAGGAGCATCAGGGGTGAAAAGAGGAAGGAGGAGGAGGGAGGAAGGAGGAGGAGGAGGGGGAGAAGAAAAAGGGAAGCAGGGAGGACGAGGAGAAGGAGGAGGAAGAGAAGGAGGAGGAGGAGAAAGAGGAGGAGGAGCAGGAGAAGGAGGATTTTGGATTGCAAGCGCGATGAACCTGTGACGGCTGTCGCGAGAGAGTGGCGCTGCAGGTAGCAGAAGCTTTAAAGATCAGTCAGGCAGGCCGGCTGAACTAAAAGACATAAATCTGCACGGGCACCAAGTGGGGCAAGGTCAGCACAGCACGAGCGCCCCCCGCATCAGAGCGGATGGAACGCGTCGAAACAAGGCATGTAGATCGTACCTCCCCCCCGCTACTAACAACACTAACCCTGCCACCCGACCCATAGTAGGCGATCCGCACTCATGGCGGCCTAACAGGGACAGTATCGCAGACTCGCAACCGTGGTCAGTGAGACAAACAGAAGGCGACGGTCCTGCGACAGGCTTCTTTGGCAGCGAGCCTCGCCGGGGAGGAGGATGAAGAGGGGGAGCAGAGAGGAGGAGGAGGGAGAGGAGGAGAAGGAGGAGGTGGAGGAGGAGGAGCAGAGAGGAGGAGGAGGGGAGAGGAGGAGGAGGAGGAGGAGGAGGAGGAGGAGGAGGAGGAGGAGAGTGAGGGAGGAGGAAGAGGAAACTGAAGGACCTTTTTACCTTTCTGGGCTGAGCGCAGGTACCCGGCATCCCAAGCGGAGACTGCATGACACTGCGGCGGGCACGCGCGGAGCGCATCAGCCACGGAGGGCCGCGGTCCTATTCGACACGGAGCCCTCTGGGCTTGACCAATGCCCAAGTCCAGCATCCCACTGGCGGTCAACTTTTCCGCCTGTGCTCAGTGCGAGCACAAAACGAACTGCATGCGGCGAGCTCTGCGATAAAGCTCGTGGCGCTGCCCGCGCCGTAGCCGTAGACCATTCAAGGGTACAGACTCGTGCCGACACAAACAGAGCCCGGAATATCAGGAGGATCAGGAAGAGGATCAGGAAGAGGAGGATGAGGAGGAGGAGGGGTAGGGAGGAGTGAGAGGAGGGAAGAGAAGGCGGAAAGACGAGGAGGGATCAGGTCAGCGCCCTTCTGATCATCATCCTCTCCCTCCTCACCGTCTGCAAAACCGTCACATCTGTTATGATATCTGTGGCCGTCCTGCTCCAATTCATCATACTTCCTCCTCCTCCTCCGTTTCCTCCTCGTCCTCCTCCTCAACCAAACGTTCCATGGCCTACTGGTGTGTGTCATCCTCGTCTCATTACCCTCCCTCTCCTCTTTAGTCCAGGATCCTTGCATGTACTCATGATCTTGTCCAAGTTGCCCGCGAGCATTGTGAGCACATCCTCAGGGTAGCCCTCGGTCGCCAAGATTGCATCCTTGATGCCCTTGGCAGGGGAAGACAGGTTACAGGTATCGATGGAGGAGGGGGGTAGTGTGAGGAGGGAGAGGAGGGACCCCAGTTCTCTACCATCCTCTCAACCACAGTCCCTTTGCTTATAGAAACATCTCCATGTCTGATCACCAGACGTGTCGTCCGCCAGAGACTTCCTCTCCGCTCATGGCTCCGAAGCTTGACATATCCAGGAATCATCTGGATGGAGTGCATCGTGTTCCAAATATGGCGATCGCCTTCGCGCCGCGCAACGTCGTCACAAAAGCTTCCAACAATTACATGGGTGAGGGCGTCTCCTTTTCAAGATGCGTCACTCGCCTTAGCGCTTTGACCCTTCGTCTTCCAAGCGCCAACCAGGCGGTGCTTTTCAAACTGTGTTTCGCCCGAGCGCCCTGTAGATTCGTCTTGAAAGTCTCCAGCAATTACATGGATGGAGGGCGGTTCATTCTCAAAATGCGGTTCTCGCCTTCGCGCCGCGCGAACTCGTCTTGAAAGCTTCCGGCATTCCCCTGATAACTTCCAACAGCAAAACGGATGGACGGGGTCGTTTTCAAAATGAACCCGGCGCGACCCCAAGTAGTGAACCTTCCCATTAAGTGGGCGCATTGCTTTGCCTTGCTGGGCTTTGCTTGGCATGAATTCGCATTACTTGGCATTGCTTCGCATTGCTTGGCATTACCTGGCATGGTTTAGCACTGCTTGGCATCGCGCGGCATTGAGTTGCATAGAATTGGCACTACTGTGCATTGCTTGGCGTTCCCTTGAATTGCTTACACTTGCTTTGGCTTGATTTGCAGTGCTAGAGAACCCGAGGAACAAGACCAGGAAGCCCCAGGAACCCAAGCAAGGAACAAAATTGGGGAACCGGGAGAACCCGAGGAGCAAGACCATGGAACTGGAGGAACCCAAGCAAGGAACAAGACAAAAGAACCTGAAGAACCACTGCAGGGAACAAGACCCGGGAACTCGAAGGTGGAGGAATCAGGAGAATTTGGAGTCCCGAAACGGTGCGGTGACAGACCGTGCGGTGACCTTGAAATCCCCCGAGACCTCACCGCACGGTCCGTCAACGCACTGTTTTGGGGCCTCGGATGCCCCAGTCGCCCGAGACGCCATCGGAGAACGACCCGACTCCTCACACCGTGCGGTGACCCCGCATCCCCACCGACTCACCACGCGGTGTGGTCACCACCCCGTTTGGTGGCCCCCGGTTCTTGGAAGGAGGCTGCTTCTTAGAAAGCGCCGCCGACCCTACACCTACAGACAAGGCCCGCGCCTTCCAAGAAGCAGGGGTGCTTCTGAGAAGCCTTCCCCCCTCCCCCTACCCACACGGTGTGGTCACCACCCCGTTTGGGGGCCCCGAGGGGAAGAAAGGCAGGGAGACAAGACCAGGGAGCCCAAGGCCCTTGTGCAAGGAAACAAAGGCTGGGGGAAGCCCGAGGAAGGCCCGGGTGCGGGCCGCGGCCCGTGCCGACAGGTTCCGCGGCAACAAGCAGGAGACCCCCACGCAAAGCCTAGTTGGAGGATGCGGCCTTCACTTTTCGGGGGCGCGCAAGAAGGGGGCGTCCAACAGGGGGGGGCACAAATCATGGCCAGCGGCACGTGCGCGGCCGAGGGGAGGGGGGGCCAGGGACGCAATAAAATAACAAGAGGCGCCATGAAATCTGGAGAAGTATCATGGCCCACGCCATGATATCCACTTTGGGAATGTCTGGGGGGTCAGGTCTGTAGGAGAGCCCGCAGGGGCGTCGGCAGGGCCGTCTTAGTCGCTCGTTGCCGTGGCTCTCCTTTCTGGAGAGTCCGGCGGGGGTGCGCGAAGCGTCATAGATTAGAAAGTGCGCTTGGCACGTCATTGGCACAAGTTTGGTGGAACATCTCAGCTGGACAGCTACACGGATGGAGGGTCGCTCTTTTTCAGATCGGGGTTCTGCCTCGGCGGGGATGCGCGAAGCGTCATATAGTAGAAAGTGCGTTTGGCACGTCCTTGACACAAGTGTGGTCGACCATCTGAGCTTGACAGCTACACGGATGGAGGGTCGCTCTGTTTCAAGTCGGGGTTTTGGCTCGACGGGGATGCGCGAAGCGTCATATATTAGAAAGTGCGCTTGGCACGTCCTTGACACAAGTGTGGTCGAACATCTGAGCTGGACAGCTACACGGATGGAGGGTCGCTCTTTTTCAGATCGGGGTCTTGCTCGGCGGGGATGCGCGAAGCGTCATCAGAAACTGCGCTTGGCACGACTTCCCTAACAAGTGTGGTCGAACATCTAGGCTGGACAGCTACAGGGATGCAGGGCCGCTCGGTTTCAAATCGGGGTTCTGGCTTGGGAGCTCTTTCGGCTCTAAAGTGGGGGCCCAATCACAAGAAGCCTTCCACAAGAAGCCCAACCCTGAGACCCCAGGGCGTCCATGGATGTTTGGTGTCGGAGCGTCACGCTTTCCATGGCAAAACCATCGACACCCTGGAGGCAAGCAGGGTGTGTCTTGGCATGGGCCTCCACTGTATGACAAGACTTTTCAACATTGGAGGACCGTGCATGGATTGGGGGCGGCTCGCGAGGCTATCGCTGGACACATCCTTGGCATTAGTGCATCTGCCTCGTCGACACCCTAACGACTGTGAGCAAGTATACTGCCTTGGGTAAGAAGGTCATCCACTCTCATTTGGCAGCCAAAAGCGCTGCAGCGTAGACAGCCGCTTTGGCGCAGGCAGGCTGCGAGGGACTGTGAGCAAGGATGGCGGCTCCTTTTCAGGTCGGAGCGCTCGCCTGAGTCGCAAGACCATGAAGCGCTCACCGTTCAAGGGTGGCACTTCCCGCAGCGAAACGTTGCTTCTCGCAGGGGCTTGTGCGGAGGGGCAGGTACTTCGGACGGGTGGGCGCGCTGCAGCATCGTACATATCTGTGGGGTCTACGCTTGTCATCCTTTCCTCTTGCTCCTCCTCCTCCTTCTCCTCCTCCTCCTCCTCCTCCTCCTCCTCCCCTTCCTCCACCATCTCATCCCCATCATCATCATAATCATCATCATCATCATCAGCATCATCATCATCATCATCATCATCATCATCATCATCATCATCATCATCATCATCATCATCATCATCATCATCATCATCATCATCATCATCATCATCATCATCATCATCATCATCATCATCATCATCATCATCATCCTCACCCTCGTCATCCTCTTACTGCTTCTCCCCCTCATCAACAGCAGCATCTTCCTCATCCTTATCCTCCTTGTCATCGTCGTCTTTCTCCTACCTCTCGTCCTTGCCATCCTGTGTTTTTCATCCTCATCCTCCTCTCCTCCCTCCACCTCCTCCTCCTGTATTATTATTGTATCCCTCCTCCTCCGTCTCCTTCCTCTTCTCTATCCTCCTCGTCATCCTCGTCCTCATCATCCTGAACGCTGAACGCTGTTGGCATCGGGGTTCGATCTGAACGCTGCCATTCCCCCCACCCTCGTCTCCCTCCTCCTCCTCCTCCTCCTCCTTCTCCTCCTCCTCCTCCTCCTCCTCCTTCTCCTCATCCCTCCTCTCCGCCTGCCCCCATCTCGCCCCCCCTCCCCCTTCACTTACCCCCCTTTTCCTGCCCAAGGCTCCTCATGCCTCCCCACCGCCCTCCCTCCTCCCGTTCCTAGAGGCCTCCCAGATGAGGTCCGAGTAGATGGGGCCGGAGGATCGCGCCGCATCGCCGATACATCGTAGATGCATCGGCGACGCACAGGCGACGTCGGCGACGCATCGGCGCCGTCGACGTGGAACAAAAACGCTTCCCACATGGCGACGCATCGCAGATGCATCGGCAATGCGGCGCGATTCTCCGACCCCACCTGCTCCGACCCTGCCAAGGAGGCCTGGAGTTCCATCCCCATCCCCCCCTCCCCACAAGTCCTCCTCCTCCTCCTCCTCTCGCTCCTCTCACTCCTCCGCCCCCACCCTCTCCGACCCTGTCAAGGAGGCCTGGAGTTCCATCCCCATCCCCCCCTCCCCACAAGTCCTCCTCCTCTCGCTCCTCTCCCTCCTCCGCCCCCTCGGCCCTGAAGCTGCTGCCTTCGTCTTCTTGAGCGCCCCGCCCATCGAGGCTCCCGCGGGCCGCTTCATCGGCGCCGAGGGATCCCGGGCTATCGGGCTCTCTTGCCGAGGTCCTGCCCGGCCGCACCGCGCTCTCCGCAGCCCTCCTCCTCCTCCTCCTCCTCCTCCTCCGCCTCCTCCTCCTCCTCCTCCTTCTCGTCCTCCTCCTCCTCGCTTTCTGGTTCCTCCTCTCGGTTCGGTCAATCGCTCAGACGTCCATTACCCGTGCATGTTCGGTTCCGCGCGTGTATATGAGCGCTTTATTTTGATTCGGCATTTCGACATCGGGCGGAAGGGGGGAAGAGGGGGGGGGGTCTGGCTCCGGACCTCTGCTTAATGCGACTGTTTGGAACCGTGCGTCCTACGGGGGAGACTCCAACTGCTCGAAACAGGCGCCCAAAAACAACTAAGATCTACTCCATGGGGGGGGAGGGGGGGGGTTGGGGGCCCGCGCCGATCGGCAAAACAATGAATAGAAAACGATCACTATCTTTCCCAGGATGATCCAGGGAGCTCCTCGATGCTCCACGTCGAGGAGAAAGGCACACGTCCGAGCGATGCCGAGCTCATGCTCGTGTTCCTCCTCTGGTCAATCCTCGTCCTTCTCCCCTGCGCACGGGCTCCTTCCTTCCTTCCTTTCCCCTGCGCTTCTCCTATCCTCTTCCTCCTCCTCCTCCTCCTCCTCCTCCTCCTCCCTTTTCAGTCTTCTGTCCTGCCCCTGCTGGTCCAGCTGCACTCTGCTCGCGCTTCTGCGCATAAAAATGCTGCAGCTGCTGCTTATGCTTATTGGTATTATGATTATATGTGTTCCCATTATCATTATGCTGCAAGTGCTGCCGCCGTCGCGACTGCTGCTGTTCCTTCCCCGTCGTTTCACCGTTGTCAGCGTTTCGGCTCGCTCGCTCTGTCTCTCTCTCTCTCTCTCTCATTCTCTCCCTCTTTCTCACCCTTGTCTTTATCGTAATCCTCACCTATGTAATACGCCCATCCATCACTTCCCCTCTAACTCCACATCATCCTTCTTCTAGATGTGCATCCTCCATCAGTGTAGCGGACGGGAGACTCAATCACGGCTGGGCCCTCCACCGTCCATCACAGGCCAGCCCGCTCGACCCGAAGTGCTGGCCCCGACTGGAGACAGAAGCTCCAGAATATCACGGGCAACAATGCGTGAAACCCTACCCCAACAATGCTTGAAGTTCTGAGACGCCCCTGACGAGATCGGTGGCGACTCATGGGAGCCTCCCATATCATCTTGTCGGCTCTTACGAATCGACCCCTAGTCTGCAGTAGATCGACGCTAATCGACGCTAAATCGTCGTTAACAGACGCTAGATCCGCGCTCGACCACCGATTCCCGAACGCTAATCGACGCTAGTCGGCGCCAAACTTAGGTCGGGCATGTCCCCCTGCAGACGGATTTTGGACGAATGAGCCTGGCGAAGGACCCAACCCCAACCATATGCAGTTGTGAATGCCGAAGTAGTAAGTATCGTCTTCGGTGGGGCCCCCCTTGTAAGGCCACGAAACGCTGTACTGGGTGGGGGAGACGCATGCGGGCTGCGCCACTGAAACTTTCGGTGGAGCTCCCTGTGGGGCCACGGAACGCTGGGAAACGCATGCGGGCTGCGCCACTGGAACCTTCGGTGGAGCTCCCTATGGGGCCACGAAACAGTGTACTCGGTGGGGGAGGCGCATGCGGGCTGCGCAATTGAGACCTTCGGTGGGCCCCCCTATGGAGCCAAGAAGCGCTGCACTGGGTGGGGGAGACGCATGAGGGCTGCGCCACTGAAACCTTCGGTGGAGCTCCATTTGGGGCCACGAAGCGCTGTACTGGGCGTGGCGGACGCATGCGGGCTGCGCCACTGAACCTTAGGTGGAGCTCCCTATGGGGCCACGAAGCGCTGTCGTGGCTGACGCATGCGGGCACCCCCACTGGGGCCTTCGGTGGAGCTCCATTTGGGGCCACGAAACGCTGTACCCGGCGTGGCGGACGCATGCGGCGGTAGAGGGAAATAATTACTGAACGCGCCCCCTCCCCAAAAACTCAATGTTGGCACGCGCAAAGGAGACGACGGCCGAAGTGCATCTCATCAGACCCACCGCCAACTTTGAACAGTGGGGGGAGGGGGAGGCGTTGACGGATGAATGTGGCATGTGTTCGCTGATTTGTTCCGAGGCCTGGGGCACCCCCACTGGAGCCTTCGGTGGAGCTCCCTATGCAGCCACGAAGCGCTGTACTGGGCGTGGCGGACGCATGCGGGCACTCTCAGTGGGGCCTTCGGTGGAGCTCCCTATGCAGCCACGAAACGCTGTACTGGGCGGGGGAGACGCATGCGGGCTCCCCCTTCTGGGGCCTTCGGTGGAGCTCCCGATGGGGCCACGAAATGCTGTACTGGGCGGGGGAGACGCAGGGAAGGGCCACGAAACGCTGTACTGGGTGTGGCGAACGCATGCGAGCACCCCCGCTGGTGCCTTCGGTGGAGCTCCCTATGGGGCCACGAAGCGCTGTACTGGGTGGGGGAAACGCAGGGAGGAGGGAGTAGGGGGAGGAGGAGGGGGAGGAGGAGGAGAGAGGAGAGAGGAGAGAGGAGAGAGGAGAGAGGAACGCGGGGACCCAACACCACAGGATGTATGGGGAAAATAACAAAATTATCCTGGCGACGGACCCAACCGTATGCAGTTGTGAGTACCACAATTGTGAATATCTTCTTCAGTGGCGCTCCCTATGGGGCCACGAACCGTATGAAAGTGTGCCGAATTGTGTGGCGTAGCCTCTGCACGGGGCTTCCCTGGGAACCCCGACGGCAACGCCGGCGCGCCGCGACGCCCATGTCGGCACGACCCACAAGAGGATAGCGCACGCTTCCTCCCCTCCGTTTTCCTTGTCCTTTGCCCGCGCACTCCAAAGTCCAAGGCTGCGGGCGCAGCGCAAGGCGGAGCTTTCGCGACGCGCGCGAGAACGCCTTCGGTGGGGCCTCTATGGGGCCCCGAAACGCGTGAGGGGTGTATCGAAATGGGTGTGCGGGCGGGCACGGGACATGGTGGAGCGGGCACACCCGAAATGGGTGTGCTGCGGACACTTCGGTGGAGCTCCGTATGGGGCCACGAAACGTGTGAGGGGTGTGCCGAAATGGTGTGCGGGACGCATGCGGGCACACCCACTGGGACCTTCGGTGGAGCTCATGGGGCCACGAAACGTGTGAGGGGTGTGCCGAAATGGGTGTGCGGGACGCATGCGGGCACACCCACTGGGACCTTCGGTGGAGCTCCCTATGGGGCCACGAAACGTGTGAGGGGTGTGCCGAAATGAGTGTGCGGGACGCATGCGGGCACACCCACTGGGACCTTCGGTGGAGCTCCCTATGGGGCCACGAAACGTGTGAGGGGTGTGCCGAAATGGGTGTGCGGGACGCATGCGGGCACACCCACTGGGACCTTCGGTGGAGCTCCCTATGGGGCCACGAAACGTGTGAAGGGGTGTGCCGAAATGGGTGTGCGGGACGCACGCGGGCACACCCACTGGGACCTTCGGTGGAGCTCCTATGGGGCCACGAAACGTGTGAGGGGTTTGCCGAAATGGGTGTGCGGGACGCATGCGGGCACACCCACTGGGGGGCCTTCGGTCCGGGGGCCACGAAACGTCCCGGGACGCATGGGGCCAGCGAAACGTGTGAGGGGTGTGCGGGACGCGTGGGTGCGGGACGCCCGGGACGCATGCGGGCCACTGGGGCCTTCGGTGGAGCTCCCTATGGGGCCACGAAACGTGTGAGGGGTGTGCCGAAATGGGTGTGCGGGACGCATGCGGGCACACGCATTGGGGCCTTCGGTGGAGCTTGCTATGGGGCCACGAAACGTGTGAGGGATGTGCTGAAATGGGTGTGCGGCCGGCAAGCATGCGGGCACACCCACTGGGACCTTCGGTGGAGCTCCCTATGGGGCCACGAAACTTGTGAAGGATGTTCCGAATTGGGTGTGCGGGACGCATGCGGGCACACCCACTGGGGCCCTCGGTGGAGCTCCCTATGGGGCCACGAAACTTGTGAGGGGTGTGCCGAAATGGATGTGCGGGACGCATGCGGGCACACCCACAGGGACCTTCGGTGGAGCTCCCTATGGGGCCACGAAACGTGTGAGGGCTGTGCCGAAATGGGTGTGCGGGACGCATGCGGGCACACGCACTGGGGCCTTCGGTGGAGCTCCCTATTGGGCCACGGAACGTGTGAGAGGTGATAGTGGTGATGACTGCGATGATGATGACGATGATGGTGATGAGGACGGTCGTGAGGATTATGACGAAGATGATGATGACGGGGATGATGACGACGACGACGACGACGATGATGATGACGATGATGATGGTGGGAGGAGGGAGGAGGAAGGAGGGGGAGGAGGAGAGGAGGAGAGGAGATTCGGGCCAACGTCTCTTCAAAACGAGAACCCAACACCACAGGATGGTTGGGAAAACAAATGCTAAGAGATAGTCCACAAAATCGTCCCCAGACTATGTTTAGCTATTTTTGACCGGAGACCGACTCAACGTTAAAGACGGAATGGACCGGGTACGCCAGGCTCCCATGACCTGCCACCGAAGACGAGGGAAGACCGCTCTGGCAGAAGCCCGCTCCGGCGGAGACCGCTCGGGCAGAAGCCCGCTCCAGGGCAGAAGCCCGCCTCGGCGGAACCGCTCCGGCAGAAGCCCGCCCTGCAGCGCCCACTCCAGCACCAGCCCGCTCGGGCAGGCCCAGAGATCCGACGCTCCCAAATTAGCCTGACGAAGGACCTAACCACATGCAGCTGCGAGTACCGCGAGGGAGATGGGACGGAGGAGGGGGGCCCGGCGGGGTGAGGTCCAGGGGACTTGCGCGGTGGAGAATTCTGGGGGCCTCGCGCAAACGTCTCTGCGGGGATGCATGTAAACCCTACCACTGGGGCCTTGGGTGGAGCTCCATGTTAGGTCACGAATCGTGTGAGGCGTACGCTGAAATGAACCGCGGTAACGCATGCCATTGGGGCCTTGCGTGGAGCTC